CTGGGGGCTGCTTCGTTTGGACCGCGGGGTCCTGGGTGCGGCCCTGGGGGCTGCGTTCGGTTGCCCGTGGGTCTCCGTCCCCGCGGGGGGGGTGGGGCTTTGGCCACGGTTCTCCCCTCCTGGGAGGTCCGTCGTTATGGTGCACCTGTCTGGCGTGGCCCTCGGGCTCCTCGTCGCCACTCCCGCTTGCGTGCCGCAGCGTCGGCAGGTGGACTTTTGTCCGCCCAACCCATACCCATATCCTTGTTCCTTTTTATTATATATCCCCACCTACTTCGTATTCTGGCCGATAGCGGCCCAATCCGGAACCTCCCATCCGGACTGTAAACAATCAATACAAAGTGGCAGTTTTTCTTCTCAACATCGTCTGTCTTGTCGTCGACGATGCGAAAAGCATGGCAGGAATGGGACGCGGCGCACATCGCGCGCGGCAGTCAATCTGGGCCCGCCCATCCTGATTGTAAAAAACAATACACAACCTTCGCTTTTTCATCTCAGCATGGCCTGCCTTGTCGCCGACGGTGCGAAATATGTGGCAGCAGTGGGACGCGGCGCACATATGGGACGCGGCGCACATCGCGCGCGCGGCCGTCAATCCGGGCCCGCCCATCCTGATGGTAAAAAAGTCAATACAAAGTCTCCGTTTTTTCTCTCAGATGGCTTCCCTTGTCGCCGACGGTGCGAAACACGTGGCAGGAATGGGACGCGGCGCACATCGCGCGCGGACGTCCATGCGGGCCGCGGGCCCTCCCATCCTAATTGTAAGAAACAATACCGAGTTGCCGTTTTTCCTTTCATCATGGCTTGTTTTGTCCTCGACGATGCGAAATGCGTGGCAGGAATGGGGCGCGGCGCACAGCGCGCGCGGACTTCTGGGGCAACCCCAAGGCGGGAGGGGCCACCTTACTTGTCAGAAGCAATACCGTGCTGATTTTCCCTGCCCACGCTCTTGTCGTCCACCCCGCAAAAGTGCATAGCAAGAATTGGGCGCGGCACCCCCCCCTCCCCCCCCGCTCGAAGTGAATGAAATGACCTTCCCGCTTGGGCGCCGAGCGACATTTTCTCAAAGTTGCGCTCCCGCTTTGGCCCGGCGCACGTTTCTAGCTCGCCAATTCACTGGGCGCCGGGGCGTTCCAGGAGGCCCTGGGGTGACGAATGCCTGGGAGGTTTTTGCTTGTTCAGGCTCTTGGAGGGCCTCGAGAGGCTCCCCGCGGTTTCTTGGCGGCGTCTTCGGCCGTCTGGAGGCCATCTTGGGCGTCTTGGTACGATCTTTCGGCGACTCAGGGCCCCTCGGATCGTCTCGGGGGCGTCTCGGCTCTCTTGGGGCGTTCCTGGGGCGCTGTGGGACCTGGAAGTCAGCGCCGAAGAAGAAAACCATCGTTGGGACCGACGCGCCCAGGACCTGCTCGGGGTTCTTTTCGTCCGGGGGCCCCCAGGGGCCGCCCCGACGATATAAGATAAACGACGGGCGTCGGACGCGACGCGTTTGCTTCTTATGTTGTGGGGGGGGCGGGTGGGAGTGGACGGAGCCCTCTCGCTTGTTCGAGCTGGCTAAGTTGACCCATACCCATGCCCATACCGTTCCCATCCTCCTCCCACTCCTCTCCTCCTCCTCCTCCTCCTCCTCCTCCTCCTCCTCCTCCTCCTCCTCCTCCTCCTCTCCTCCTCCTCCCCTCCTCCTCCTCCCCTCCTCCCTCCCCCTCCCCCTCCCCCTCCCCCTCCCCCTCCCCCTCCGCCTCCTCACGTCAACGCCCCGAGCCTTGAGGATCGAGGTGTCTGGACGTGGCCCCTTTCGCGCCTCCAGGGGGGCCCACGGAGACCCCCGATCCTTATAATAACAAGCCCGCCTCGTCGCACACCCGGACGCGTCTGTGGGGCGGTCTGGGCGCGTCGCCTGAGATGTCCCGCGACGAGGGCGTGGACTGCAGTCGGGCCGAGGTAGAAGGTCGAGGTCGACTCGGGGAGGGTGCCCAGATTTTCTTCGTGCTTGTTGGACGTTCTTGTGCATCCTGGGGGGTAGCTACGTTTGGATGTTCTCTGTGTCTTGGCCGGCGGAGGGACTCATGTTCTTGAAGGATGTTATTATGTATTATGTCCGGCTGGAAGGAACCATTGGATCAGGAATCCAGGGCCTGGAAACAGGGGGGGAAATTCCAATCGTGGAGTGGCCTTTGATACCGCCGCCGCCCTCATCAGATAAGGCACCCTCCCAGGGTCTGGAGGCTCCTGGGCACATTCCTTTTCGAACGCCCCCGCCATAGACTCAGGGGTGGATCGGGGCTCGCTCTCTGAAGGTTTCTGATCGTCCTTGGGCGCCATCGCGGCCACAGCTGGATCCACCTCTGGCTTCTGGGCAGAGCGGACCCCAGGAGAGGTCCAGGGGTCGATCCATATATGTTTTGGGCGTTTTCGTCTGATTTCGGCTGTTTTCCAACTTCGGGATGCTCTCCAGCAGCTGCGCCTCGCCGAGGGCGTTCCGGGGGTGCCCAGATCGTCCCGAACGGCCGCCTGAGGCCCGAAATTTGGTCCGAAAACTACTAGGGGTGGGGATAGGTTCAGAAGAGCAGGCATCAACTCCCAATCGCCCATTGATCCAGACATCCGGTTTGGTACATGTTTTTCCTATGCGCGGACCCTGGAGGTCTGGACCGCCTCTCCTGGGCCAGTTTGTTGTCTTACTCGTTTTTTGAAGTTCCCAGGGCCCGGCGAGGGCCCCCGCAGGCCGATCACACCCTAAAACCGCCAGCTCCAATTTTTCTGGAGCGTCGGATCTCTGGGACTCCTAATCGCCCATGGATCGCCCATCGGGGCCCGATAGCCCACCAGGCCCAGGGAACGCGCGGTGTCGCTATCGGGAGCCAGTCGGCGATGTGCGGCCGCTTCCAGCTCGGCGCTTACCCCCATGAGACGGCCCCTCCCTCACCCCAAACGTTCGAGTCGGGGATCGACCACAGAATTGATGCACCCCAAAATTGATTCCTTCGTCGAATCCACTACAATTGCGTATGATGCTAGTAGAACTACTGGTCGAGCATTATACGCAGTGTTCGTGGATTCAACGTACAAGTCAATTTGGGGTAAATCAATTATAAACGATTCCCTTCTCGAAGCGTTCCTCCTCGTTGTCGCCTTCGTGTCCGCCGCCAGCGCCGAGACTGGAGCAGGCTTTTTTGTGTTTTGGCACTCTCGGCCTCGAGGGCCCCACTTCCGGATCAGCCACGGTATGATGTGCTCAGTCCAGGCGTGCTTCCTCGACCTCCCTCCTCCTCCTCGTCCTCCTCCTTCACCTCCACCTCCTCCTCCTCCTCCTCCTCCTCCTCCTCCTCCTCCTCCTCCTCTTTCTCCTCCTCCTCGTCCTCCTCCTCCTCCTCCTCCTCCTCCTCTTCCTCCTCCTCCTCCTCCTCCTCCTCCTCCTCCTCCCCCTGCTTCTTCTTCTAAGAGCCGGATCTGGGACGAAAAGCTGCGCCCCGGGAAGTTGTCGGGACGCTCGGGGCCGCGGATCGACGGAGCCAGCTCGGCGGACGTCAGGGATCGTTGCCTGCGCCGTCGCTTCAAGGCTCGAGCAGACTTGCGGGGCACTCTCAAGCAGGAGGAGGAGGGAGGAGGAGGAGGAGGAGGAGGAGGAGGGCGGAGGAGGAGGAGGAGGGCGGATGGAGGAGGAGGAGGAGGAGGAGGAGGGAGGAGGAGGAGGAGGAGGAGGAGGAGGGGAGGAGGGGAGGAAGAGGAGGAGGAGAGGAGGAGGAGGAGGAGGAGGGGAGAAGGAGGATGTGGAGGAGGAGAGGCGGAGGAGGAGGAGGAGGAGGGGAGGAGGAGGGAGGGGAGGAGGAGGAGGGCGGAAGGGGGAGGAGGGCGGAGGAGGAGGAGGAGGAGGAGGAGGAGGAGGAGGCGGAAGAGGAGGAGGAGGAGGAGGAGGAGGAGGAGGAGGAGGCGGAGAAGGGAGGAGGAGGAGGAGGAGCAGGAGAAGGAGGGAGGAGGTGGGAGGAGGAGGAGGAAGGAGGAGGAGGAGGCCCTGGAGGGGCCCTGTTCCAGGTGCAGGGGTCCTTCGGAGACCGCCCCTGGGGTGGGGGCTGCCCAGCATACAGCCGGGGCCCTGAAGAAGGAGCCATTTTCGCTGGGGAGGGGCTCGGCGTTCCTTGACTGTTTTCTGCAGTTTGCCGCCGGTTTTCCTGAGGTTCCCCATGGGAAATCGAAGTATAGCTTGTTGGGAGAAACAGGGGCCTCGTCCCTTATTTATCGGAACCCTTTTCGCTGGGGAGGGGCTCGGTGTTCCTCGATTCTGGTGCGGCGTGCCTTAGGCTGTCCCGAGGTTGTCCATGGGAATCGAAGTTTAACTTGAGGGGAGCAGGGGCCTCGTTCCTTATATAAATAGGGTTCCTTATATGTCAACGCCCCGGCGCTACTCGTAAGATTGAGCTCCTGCGGGAGTGACGTGTGGTGCGGGCCCACAGGGGGAGGAGGAGGAGGAGGAGGAGGAGGAGGAGGAGGAGGAGGAGGAGGAGGAGGAGGAGGAGGAGGAGGAGGGGGATGAGGAGGAGGAGGAGGAGGAGGAGGAAGAAAAAGGGCCCCGTTCCTTACTGATCGTTCCTTAGGCCAACGCCCCGACTGCAGGCCCCGGGAGGGGCCCGTGGACCAGGCTCGGAGCGAGTTTCGACGCCGCCGCCGCCGCCGTCGCCGTCAGCGTCGTCGTCCTCGTTCTCGTCCTTATCCTTGTCCTCCTCGTCCTCTTGGTTCTCCTCGTCCTCCTCCTCCCTCCTCCTCTTCCTCCTCTTCCCTCCTCCTCCTCCTCCTCCTCCTCCTCCTCCTCCTCCTCCTCCTCCGCCTCCTCGTCCTCGTCGGCGGCGTCCTCGTCGCCGCCGTCGTCGGCCGAGTGGCACCGTCGGCTGCGACGGGACACGCTGGCGGCCGCGGAAGAGGTGGACCCCGCCAATTGGATGGCCGGGTTCGGCCACGTGCCAGTGCCGAATCTGGTGATGCCGGGCGCCCACGACGCGGGGGCCCAGGAATCGGCGATGCCCTCGTCGCTTTCGTCGCCGTCGTCGGCGTCGTCGTCGCCTCGTCGCCGTCCTCTTCGTCCACCTACCCCCGTATGTTTGTTCTCGATTTCGGCCTCTGGGGCCCGTTGTCGGGCCCCAGGGCCATCAAAAACATATACAGACGAATCAGTACCCCCTGGGAAGCGTTAGGATATTCTGGCGGCGCCGTAGCTGCCGTCGTCGCCCCCGTCGCCCTCGCCCTCGCCCTCGCCCTCGTCGTCGTCGTCGTCGTCGTCGTCGTCGTCGTCGTCGTCTTCGCCTTCTTCGTCATCCTTCTCGCCCGTGCAGTTGCTGTCAGGAGCGTTTCCTTCGCGCGTCGGCGCCGCTGGCCCTGGCCCACCACGTCTCGGCGCGACGCGCTTTTTCCACGCCCTGGCCCCCGAGCCCCCCGAGCGTATACGGGCCGAGCCCCTCCCAGCCTCCCGCCCCACGGAGCGGAGCGACACGCCATCTGCTCGAAATCGGCGGCGAGCGACAGGGGGAGAAGTGAGGAGGAGAAGGCCTTCTCAGAAGGCTCGGACGTCCCCCGGTCTCCCGAGAAGTGTTCTGAGCCTTCCCCGAAGACAGGCAGAAGGCTTCTCAGAAGGCGCGAGGGCTTCTGAGAAGTCCCGCCTCCTTCTCTTGGCATCGCTCGGACGTGTGTATTTTTTCTCGGCGAGGACCCTTGAGGAGCATACTTGATCAATTGGCGCAAAAAACCCGCATGACCTCGCCTGGGCGGCGCGCACTCCGGCGAGAACACTCCGCCGGAACCCCTCGCGTCGCGACAGCAGTCGCGGCGGACAAGGATCGGCCGTCGCGGCTTGTGTCAAAAGAGGGTCGATCCTCGATCTTCCGCCGATCATGGAGGATTCCTGAGTCATCGGGGATCGAGGATCGATCAGCAAGGATCGAGGATCCTCGAGGATCCTCGATCATCGAGGATCGGGGGCCCTTGATCATCGCGGATCCTCCATCCATCGTCCGTCGATCCTCGAACCTCGATCACCGAGGATCGACGATTTTTGGACGCTTTCAGTCCCTCTCGTGGGCACGGCTGGATTCCCCGCAAAACGCTGGTCAGAGCGCGCCCCTGGAAAAAGGCCTGGCAGCTGAAGTTCAACCCCAGGACCCAGGCCCCTCGCGCCACGACAACAATCACGACGGAAGGCCTTTCGCCTTGAGTCGGGCCTGCCCTCCTGCAGGGGGAATTTGGACGAAAAGTTAAAAGCAGTAAAACAAAAATACACGAACTATTCAGCAAAAATCGTCCCCAGACTATGGTTTGACTATCTTTTGATATTCCTCCTGTAGGGGGATGCGCCCGACTTACAAGTTTCGCCACTCTTGGCCTCTGGGGGCCCGCTCTGGGCCCCCCTGGGCGTGCGGTCGGGAACTTCTTCTTGCGCGTGGCGTGTGGCGCGGCGGCGGCGGCGGCGAGCGAGGGGGGGAAGTGAGAAAGAGAAGGCCTTCTCAGAACTGGCCATCGCTCGGACGTCCATTCCCTGTGTTTAGTCGGTCAGGAAAAAATTGTATATCCGTAGCCATGTTGGCTCAAGTTCGAAACCGTGCCGCGAGGCTTCGAGCTTGTCCGCAGCCGTGCGGCAGGCTCGGGTGATTTTGGCGTGCGAGATTCCTCGTGTCGCGAGACGCGGCTCGGCAGTCATTCCTCCTCTGCAAATCCTGCGATGGTGCCGCCTCCCAAGCTCGCGCCGTGGGAAGCAAGCCGTGAGCGCCGCCTGCGCAACGGCACGTACGGCAATCGCAAGATGTGGAAGTGCAGCTACTCAGATTGCGGCTGCGCTAAGAACCTGCTCAGCTTCTGGTACTGCAACCGAGCGTCCCAGCCGTCCGTGGTGGTGCCCGAGACGGCCAGCAAAGAGGACGTCCAGCAGCTGCTCCAGCTGGCGGAGAAGCTCGGCGACACCGCCGCGGCGGCGCACTACCGCGGATGGATCGCCAAGAGGACCGCCAGCGAGAAACCCACTCCAGCCAAGCCATTGGAGAAGCAGGCAGAAGATGCCCGTGCTCGAGTCAGGCTCCTCGAGACGAAGCTCAACAAAGAATTGTCCGACATCGAACGGGCTCGTACATGGTATTCTGACTGCGTCGAGGCAGCAAGGAAGCTCAATATCGATCTGGACGAGGCGGATGAGGCGCACACGAGGCTGGTGGACCAGCTCCATCACGAGGTTGTGGCTCCCACTCCTGCTCACGTGCAGCGTGCTCTTTGCTTGCGAGACATCCTGGATGGCAAGGAAGGGGCTACCGCCATCGACTACGGCGAAGGAGCTCTCGGCTTGGACGGTGAATATGGGTGGTCTGACACCGATCTGGAAGAGTTCAACAAACGCAAGTCCCTACTCGAAGGCCAGCTGGCGGACATCACCAAGCAGTTGTTCGCCAAGGTCCAGCAGTCGGTGGACGAGATCAAGAAATCGCACAATGAACACATGGGTCGGCTTCAGAAGAAACGTAAGGTCGAATCAAGTGCTGAGGCGGAAGCTGGAGGATCGGGCCGTGGCCCACCCGATCAACCAGGAGGTCCTGCCCCTGGATCGCCAGGAACGAGCACAGCGGCGACTACCCCTCCATCGACGGCGACTTCGGCAACTACAGCAGCGGCTTCTGGCAGTAATGATGTGCGCCAGCGCGCAGATCGATGGCTCAGCACACCGCTGGCAATGACCAGCCCCCCGCCGCCTAGTGGCAGGCAGTTTGCTCCTCTGGAGGAGGAGGCGGCGGGGGGGCAAGACGCCCCAGCAATACCTACCCATGCTCTCACCTTCCATGGACGGGCCTCCTGCAGGCCGAGATTTTGAGATCAGCGACAGTTTAGTTGCTGCTCGGGTTGGCGGCGGGTCCCATTTTGATTCCCTCCAGGTGTCCGACCCCCCGTCCAAGGATCAGTTCTGTTTACAGTTTGAAACTTGTAACGCCACGCCGTGGGGGTCGTGCAAGGAATGGTTCCTTGGGACCCAGGCCCATGCCGTGGCCATCCAAGAGCACCATCTGGTGTCCAGCCAGTCGTGTAAGGAAGCGGAGGCCTGGTGCCTGCGCAATGGTTGGAAGGGGATTTTTTTTCTCCTGCGCACCCAGGCGAGGGCGAGGGCAGCCTCGGCGGCGTGGCTGCGCTCGGTCGCGAGTTCCTCGGCTTGCACCCCTTGCCCAACCTCAACTCAGAAGTTGCCCCGCCCAGGGCGGTCGCGGGCATCGTTCATCTTCCCGGGGGCGAAGCTCTTCAGGTTCTGAAGGTCTCGGTGCACTTGTATTGCTCCGAGGGCCTCACCAACCGCAACGTGGACATCCTGGGCGCAGTCGGCAGTCTCCAGGACATCCATGCGCCGGCAATGTTGGCGGGAGGTGATTTCAATCTGAGGCCTGACAAAATCCTGGACAGTGGTTTTCCTGAACGGTTATCGGGGCAGATCATCTCCCCGTCATGCGACGGCACCTGCTCCACCACGGGCGGGATGAAGTTGATCGGTTTTTCGTGGTCTCGAAGGGCCCCGCCAAGGTTGTCAATGATGCCTCGGGCCAAAGAGGTTCGAACATCACGCCGCATTTGCCTGTTCAACTCGAGCTGCACGAGCGCGCGGCGTCTCTGCAGGTTCGGCGTTCGACCCCCCCCCCCCCCCCCCCCATCACCTCTGAGCGTCCCATCGGGCCCCCGAGGGCCCCCCCTTCCTGGAAACTCGCCCGCGGGCTTGGAGGCGAAATCCTGAGCGAGCTGGTTCCTGGGGCCACGTCCGCGGGACGTCAGGAAAAGTTGTCTCGCCTCTACCGCCTCTGGGGGAAGTTGGCTGAGTATGAGGTGGCCGAGGTTGCTCATCCCAAGTTGCCTAGGCACGGTGCGCGTGGGCGCAGGCCCAAGCTGAAATGGGCCTCTGTGTTTCGGGATTCCCCCCAGGGGCGTAAGCACCCTGAGCTCTTTGGGATCAAATGGCTGACGAGCACCTTTAGACAGTGGGGAAGCACCAAGTTTGGATCCCCAGAGGCCCATCAGCGCGCTCCTTTAATTGGCGATCCCCCTGGGGGCCTGGTTAAATTTCTGGGTCCGCACTCCGAGCTGCTCCCCAGATGCCCACTGAGGGTTGGCGTCTCTCGCCCCCACTTTTTGCCGCACACAGCTTCCGAAAATAATGTCAGGAACGGCGCGACTGTCAGAGTCGACGCCGAGTGTAGACAGGACACGTCCTGCGCCGTCGGCTACGACGACCCCCGCAGCACGGAGGTTGACGAGGCCGACGAGGTCCTCGATTTCGATTTGCTCACTGACTTGGGCCAGGCGCCGGAGGCGGAGCATAATCGTGCCAGGCGCCAGGTCATTAGATCCTGGAAGGAGCGGTTGTTAAAGAACATCGAAAAAGGGGGTCGCAACGCGCATTTGGCCAGGCAGCCCGCGGCTGGCTGGAAGGCGTCCACCACCCTGTCTTCGGCTGGGATCGTGAGTTCGGACCCCTTGGCCCTCCTCAAAAACCAAGCGCTGATGTTCTCTAAAATTTGGGAGGCCGAACCCAGGCCTGACGAGCAGGACCACCCGTCGGTTTTGGAGCCCCCCCCGCCGCTTGAAGCTGATTTCTTGAGAGAGGTCTCTAGGAAATACTCGACCCGTACGGCGTGCGCGATGGACGGGTTCCATATGAGGCACTACTCGTGGATGTCTGACCAGTGTTTACAGGTGGTTCCAATGATGATCAGCATAATGGAGTCAATTTCGTGCTTGCCGTTGCAAGTCCAGCTCGCTCAGGTGATTTTACGAATGAAACCCAACGGCGGCTGGAGGCCGATTGGGTTGTTCTGCTCCATCTACCGTCTGTGGGGAAGATGCCGCCGCATTTACGCCCGACAGTGGGAGGTCGCTTTTTCTCGGCCCTACTTTGCTGGCCAATCGTTCGCCTCCGCCACGGACGTTGTTTGGAGGCAAATGCTGAAATCCGAGGCCGCTAACTCCAAAGGGCTGTGTTCGGGGACTTTGCTTTGGGACA